GCAGGAAATCTGACGTTTCGGGTCTAGATCCTTCTTCAGAAAATGAAGACCCGAAACGTCAGCTTTCCTGCTCCTCTGATGCTGCTTGGCCTGCTGTGCTCATCCAGCTCTACACCTTGTTATCTCAGATTGTCCAGCATCTGCAGTTTCTACTATCTCGGATATCCTATGGAGTTTACTTTTGGAATGAAAAAGGCTGAGATGATTTTACGTGAGGTGCTAGGAGGCTAGACACTGGATTGCAAGGACCTGATCCCATCAACATGGCTACAAATAACTAGTTGAGGATTCCCCTTCCATTGAGGGTGGTGGGATCAGGACTACATTGCTTGAGCGGGTAACAGTGACAGAAACCTCAGGTACGTTTAAAAAAATACTTTGAAAAGCTGAAGACTTACATGGCTAGACAAGGTCAGAAATCACACGACACCAGGTTATAGTCCAACATGGCTAGAGATTGGGGTGGGGGGGGAGTCTATTAAGTATGTAGAAACACAATGGGCTAAACAGCCCCTATTCGTACTGTTTCTGTTTCATATTATTAGCATCCACTGTGTTTTATTTCTAATTTATGTTTGTAAATCGGCTGCACATGAAACGCTCCATTCTCACCCGGGACCCGATCATCCTCAGGGCTGGAGACGACGTTTCCACGGCAACATCCAATCAAGGGCCAACAGAAACTCGTGCAGCAAGATCAATGATCCGACCAGCAGCAAAGACGCCTTTCTGAACCAATGTCACAAAAAAAAGTCAAGAAGTGAGAGACACTCTACAAAAGGCGACATTTATCACTGCATTCGTTTCCTATTTAGATTAGTTCGAAGGAAGAAAAGGTTTGGAGTGGGGAAGGTATGTCCTGATTCCCCGTCCCCACCCTGGACCTTGGACGGAACCGACATTCGGAGGAATATATGTGTCGTACCTGAGTAGGAAGATCCGAGAGTGGGTGTTTCCGGTGAGGGTAAGGTCACTCACGATACCAGTAGTTACCAGGGAGACGGGATGGCGTCGGCCGGGGCTGGGCGGGTGCGCGCTCTGTATAAACGGCTTTTGCTCGTGCACCGGCTGCTGCCTGACGATCTGCGCGCGATCGGTGACCGTTACGTCCGCGAGGAGTTCAGGAGGAGCAAAGGGGTCGGAGCGGAGGAGGCGAACAGGTTCCTGAAGGAGTGGGAGGTAGGAACATCTCGAGGCAAACGGGATGTGAGAACCGGATGTTTAACTGGGCCACATGGTGGGCTGGTGTGAGAGAGAGGGAGAACGGCACTGATTTTCATATCCTCCCTCACCCACCCCACTGCCAGCCCGCAGGATTCATAATGTAGGCTAACAACACTGGCATCTCCTCAACGAGAAGTGACAAGGTATATCCTGTACACAAAAGGCAAGTCAAATCATCCCGAGCCAGTCACCATCTTATCAGGTGGAATTTTAGCAATAACCTGCTCACTTCTAGGGCCTGATCAGGGTTCAAACATCGACAAAAAAAAGCTGAACTCCAGAGGTGAGGTGAGAGTGACAGCCTTTGACATCGACGATGCATTTGACTGAACGTGGCTTCATGGAGCTCTAGCCAAACCGGAGTCAATCGGAATCGGAGGCAAACATTTCACTGTGTTGTACCTGGCACAAAGGAAGATGGTCGTGTTGTTAGTCACCTCAGTTTGAGGACATCTCTGCAGGAGTTCCTCAGCATATTTTCTAATTAACCTGCCCAGATATGTTATGACACACGTCTGCAGCAGGTGGGACTTGAACCGATATCTTCTGGTTCACAGTTAGGGACACTATCACTGTGCCACAACACCTCCCTTCCAGATCATTCCAGCCGTCCCAGGGCTTTCTCATTTATTATTTGGTACAAATGAGTGAAGGGACTGAAAGATATCTTCTAATCAACATATTCAGAGATTCAGCTCTGGGGCAAGTGGGTCTTGAACCAGGGTATCCTGGTCCAAAGGTAAGGACACCACAAGAATCCTAAACTTTGTATCCAAGATCCGTTATTCGTAAAGTCTCGTTAGGAACAATTGAGGGAATTCTGAAGTTCATTGAAAGTTTAATTTTACCATGTTGCAAATCCAGTGATAGTGAGGCAGATTTGCTTTTGCTTGCCAGATGTGTTATAACACCTCTGGAGCAGGTGGGACGTGAACCCAGGCTTCCTGGCCCAGAGGTGGGAACACTACCGCTATGCCACACCAGCCTCACTTCCAATGGATAGTGTCCTAGGCCTAACTATCTTCAGCTAATTCATGTTAAGGTCAGATGCAGGGATGTTTACAGCGCAATGTTCAGCACTATTTGAGATGCCTCAGATATTGAAAGAGCCTATATCTAAATACAGCAAGACCTGGTCAAGATGCAGACTTGGGCTAATAAGTGGCAAGTAACATTCACAGCACACAATGGCCTTCTCTAAAAAGTGAAGAATCTAACCATTGTTCCTTCACATTCAATGGTGTTACAGTCACTGAATCGCTTAATATCAACATCCTAGAGTTCCCATTAACCAAAAACTGAACTGGACTAGCCATATATGTATACATAAATATTGTGGCTAAAGGGGAAAATCAGAGGCTATGAATACAGCTGCAAGTAACTCACCAACTGCCTCCCAAAAGCTTGTCCATCATCTACAAATCACAAATCAGGACTGTGATGGAACACTCCCCACTGACCTGGATGCTCCAACAACACTCAAGAAGTTTGACACTGTCCAAGATAAAACAGCTCGCTGATTAGCACCACATCTACAAACACCACCCTCTCCATCTTTGATGCTAGGAAGCAGCAGTGTGTGCCATTTACATGACACACTGCAGAAATTCACCAAAGATCCTTAGATAGTACCTTCCAAACTCATGACCACTACCATAGAAGAGCAAGCGCAGCAGATACATGGGAACACCACGACCTAAAAATTCTCCTCCAAGCCAGTGAGTGGTCCTGGTGGAACCCAAGCTGAGCATCGTTGAACATATTATTACGGACCAGATGCTGCTTGCCATGTAAATGCTTGGCTACAAGAGCAGTTCAGAAGCTAGGAATCCCACAGCAAGTAATTCACTTTAGGGATTAAAACTAAGATGTTGAAACTTTTTATTGTCACATTTTACATGAGAAAACAGCGGTAGCAATTCTGTTTTTCACAGGAATAGTAAAATAGATCACCTGCAAAGTTGCTATCTTACCTTAAAGCCAAAATACTGCACTTGCTGAAAATATGAAATGCGAGCAAAAAATTCAGGTTAGGGAAACATCTGATGAGGTTGAAACTTAGCATTTGAGAATGTGTTTGTTCTAAGGTTCTTTTTAGAGTATTCTATGATTGGAAACAGAATTAGGCAAGTTACAATTACTCAATTTTAGAAGGGACTTGAGTGACACTGATGACATCCATCATTATTCTTCACTTTGATTTTTTTTGTTTCTCATTGACGTCATAACATGAAAATCCAGCAGGTGGCAGAGCAAGCATTCCATGGCTGTAAAAATGCATCTGTTATCCATACTCTATGGTAACATCTCTCTTGTGGGACTAAAGTGTCAAAGGTAGTCTCATTCCCTTATTGTTTAAATAATTAACTCTTCTATATAAAAAAGATTACGTGCTTCACCTCATTCACTGTCTTCCTGCTTCCCCATCTTGCTCCAGAATGTTGTTCAGTCACAAAGAAGACCTTACAATGCACCTTATTGTGCAGGATAATGTCCTGGCTTTCACTAGGAATGAACTCCCACATGTGGCACCTTGCCCCTTATTAAAGAATCACAACCTGGCTATACTTCTTATCACCACTGTGATGACAGCATGGCCCTAATCACTTTGGGTTCTTCTCCTAGTCTGCTTAACCTTGTCTGCTGTCTTATCCCTTTCTAACCCTGGTTGTTTCTTCTGGTGTGATCACCATCTTTGCTAAATTAAATGCCAAGTGGTGCAGATTTGTTGTACCTGTTAGACAAATGACTTAGCTGTCCGTTATTATTCTGCTAAACATATCAAATGCTATCAGAGATAACACAGTGTGGAGCTGGAGGAGCACAGCAGGCCAGGCAGCATCAGAGGAGCAGGAAAGTTGACCCTTCAGGTTGGGAGTTTAGGAAGAATGGACCAGGGTGTCCCGGAGGAAATGACCCCTGTGGAAGGCAGAAGAGAGGAATATATGTCCAGTGGTGGCATCTCGCTGGAGGTTGTGGAAATGGCGGCTGGTGATCTTCTGGATGTGGATGCTGGTAGGAAGGACAAGTTCAGCTGTTAAGTCAATTTTGTATCCAATTAATATCCTGAATCCTATGTGACCTAACTTTATTAATTAGTCTATCGCTGTTGCGGGAGGGACGAGAGGGAGTGAGGGCGGACATCAGGAGATGGGTCGGATCTGGTTGAGGGCCCTGTCAACAACGGTGCTGGGGAATCTTCAGTTGAAGAGGAAGGTGGACATTTCGGAGGCTCCCTTGTCAAAGTTAGGCTCATCGAAACATATGTGACGGAGATGGGAGGAACTGGGAGAATGGAGTGGAGTCTTTACAGGAAGCAGGGTGCGAGGATGTGTAGTCCAGGTAGCTGTGGGAGTCAGTGGGTTTATAGCGGATATTAGTGGCCAGTCTATCCTCAGAAATGGAAACAGAGATGTCGAGTAAGGGAAGGTAGGAGTCAGAGATAGATCTGAATCATCCTTTTCTTGATTCTGTCCTATGTTTCTCACTCCTCTGTGAGCTCATAGAGTCATACAGCAGAGAACCAGACCCTTCAGTCCAACCAGCCCATGCCGACCATAATCCCAAACTAAATAAGTCCCACATGCCTGCACTTGACCAATATCCTTCCAAGCATTTCTTATTCACATACTTATCTAAATGTCTGTTAAACCTTGTAGCTGAACCCACATCCAGCACGTCCTCTGGAAGTTCATTCCACACATGAAGCACTCTCTGTGTAAAAACAATTGCTCATGTCTTTTTTAAATCTTTCTCCTGTCACCTTAAAACTTTGCCCCCTAGTTTTGAAATCCCTAACCCCAGGTAAAAAAAAAACCTGCCATTCACCCTACTTATGTAAACCTCTATAAGATCACCCCCCAGCCTCCTACGCTCCTGTGAAAAAAGTCCAGTCTATCCATCCTCCCCAGCTTAATAATATCCTTCCTATAACAAGGTGACCGGAACTGGACACAGTACTCCAAAAGATGCCTCTCCAACCTCCTGCACAACCTCAACATAGTGTCCCAACTCCTATACTCAAAGATCTGAGCAATGAAGGCAAGCATGCTAAACACCTATTTGTGATGCAAATTTCAAAGATTAATGTACCTGAACCCCTAGGTCTCTCTGTTCTACAACACCACCAAAGGCCCTGCCATTAATTCTATAAGTCCTGTGCTTTGTTTGTTTTACCAAAATGTAATATCTTGCATTTATCCAAATTAAACTCTTTCTGCCACTCTTCAGCCCATTGACCCAATTGATCAAGATCTCTTTGTAATCTTAGATAACCTTCTTTACTGTCCACTATACCACCAATTTTGGTGTCATCCGCAAACTTACTAACCATGCCTTCTATATTCTCATCTAAATCATTTATACAAATGACAAACAAAAGTGGACCCAACACCGATCCCTGTGGAACACCCCTGGTCACAGGCCTCCAGTCCGGAAAACAACTTTCCATCACAACTGTCTTCTGCTGTAAAGTCAATTTTGTATTAAATTGATAGCCTTGAATCCTATGTGACCTAACTTTTCTAATTAGTCTACCATGCAGAACCTTATCAAAGGCTTTACTAAAGTCCAAGTAAATAATGTCTGTTGTTCTGCCATCATCAGTTTCCTTGGTTACTTCCTCAAAAAACGCAATCAAGTTTGTGCGACAAGATTTCCTTTGCACAAAACCATGCTGACTATCCCTAATCATTCCTTGTCTCTCCAAATGCATATAAATCCTATATTTCAGAATCACTTCCAGCCACTTACCCAGCACCAAAGTCAGACTCAGGTCTACAGTTCATCTTGACCCTCTACACACACAATAGCACTTCGTAATCCTCTGAAGCCTCCATTCCTCTGGCTTTGGCCTCTTTTGCATCATCTATTGCCACTGACAGCCATATCTTCAGTTTGCTATGCCTTGAACTCTATGTTCATTCTTAGACATCTCTGCCTTCTCATATTGCTCT